CTTATTATTATTTCTTAATTTGACCAGAGAGAAACAAAGGAAAAGTAAGAAAGCAAGCTGCCTCGTCTGGGACTCAAACCACGGTTGGCCTTGTGGAAATTGAGCACCTTAAGTACTATGCCACTTGCCAGTCCCCATATGCTATCTTTTTTTTTTTTTTTAAGAATTATTTATTAAAATTTATTATTTTTTAAGTTTTTGCTATAGGACGTGTTCACTCATCAGAGAGAGAAAGTGAGAAAGCAAGCCACTTGGTCTGGGACTCAAACTGACACCATTGGTTGTGTGGGAGTCTAGCACCTTAACCACCATACCACCTGCTAGCCCATGCTAATATTTTGATATTGAAGAAAGTGTTATTTGGGGACCAGCCATTGATATGCTGGTTAAGACAGTTGGATCCCACACATGGCCAACTATGTAATTTGAGTCCTGTACCTGGCAGCTTGAAAATCACACCAGGTGCGTGTACATCCATGCCCAGAATCTCAGGAGGAAAGAGATTGCTATGTAGCCATCCCCCCGAGGGGTGCTTTCTTGCTTTATTTCTCTCTTTGACTCATAAACCCACCCTATAGGAAAAAAAAAAAAAATTAAGGATTTTTCCCCCCATTGGTCGAATGCACTCACCAGCCTATAACAAATACTAAAAAAAAAAGTTTGGTGGGCTAGCATGTAGCACAATGGTTAAACACTGTGCATTGATAACCAGATCCCACATGGCTCCTATGGTTGAAAAATGCCAGACTTTGGGGTCGGCAGGTGGCATGGTGGTTAAGGGTGCTGGACTCCCACGTGGCTGACCACGGTTCTAGTCCCGGACCTGGCAGCTCTTTCTCACTTTCTTTCTCTCTCTCTTACTCTGTCCCTCTCTGGTCAAATTTAAAAATGGATAAATAAATAAAGTTAAATAAAATAATTCTTTAAAAAAATAAATAAATAAATGCCAGGTTTCTGTGTGTGCGTTTCCCAAATCCTAACAGGATGGTGAAATGGAGGAAGAAGAATTGTGTGACCATGCCCCATTGGGGATGTTTTCTCTTTGGCAAGCAGAGATGCCCTCTGGCAATTAAACATCTTACTTGGTCTCTGACTCTATTTCCTTATCTAAAACTGGGGATAAGGATAAAGTCATTGAGGTATTTCTGAGAATTAAATGAGGGCCCATCTTCTGGCACAGTCCATAGTTTACTCATAGAGCTAAAAGCCACATGCCAGCTGCAGTGCAAATCTAGGCTCTGTTGGCCTGAAACATGCCAAGCAATGCATGTGCATGCCCCAGATCCTGGCAGACTGGAGGAAAGGATGGCCATGTGACTAGATCCTGTGGAGGGTACCCTTCCCCATGTGTGTGCATGTCCTCTGTCATGAATGACAAAAAGAAGTAGGGTAATTCTTGAGAATGAATTAGCATGGTTCTAAATGTTCAGTTATAGGTATTATGAGCTAATAGCAGTTATTATTTTGTTATGAGCTAATATACTGTAGCATAAGAAAATATCCACTGAAAGAGGAACAATAAAGATTATCTTCATGATAATCTTTTTTCTTTTTCTTTTTTTTTTTTAAGGCCACTTTTGCTTGCCAGAGAAAGACAGTGACAGTTAGACGGAAAGTGAGAAATCATCCTCTAGGAGGCATGGCAACACTGCAGTCCCTTCTGGGATTTTGGGCATCATGCACCCATGGCACACGTGTACATCTGTTGTGATTTTCAGAACTGCATTGGGCAAAGTGGGAATCCAGCACCTTATACCACCACGCCACCTGCTGGGCCCCATGATAATCATTTAAGAGCTACCAGATACAGGAGGAAGAGGAAATGAAATGACAGTGTTAGGATTGATACCATTTAGGCCAGAATGCATTCTAAATTATCTTCTGCCTGGAAAGAAGAACAGACACTTGTTTCTATAGAATCACAGGATGGTGGGCCAGCAGTTGGTGTGGTGGTTAAGGCACTGGGCTCCCATATGGCTGGCTGTGGTTCCAGTCCCAGACATGGCCACTTGCTTTCTCACTTTTCCTCTCTCTGTGCTTCTGGTCAAATTAAAATAATAATAATGATAATAATGAATAAAATAATTCCTTTTTTAAGTGTTCAAACAGTTTATTAGAAAGAATGTAGGCATTTAAAAAAATCTCCACTGTCATGAACTTAAATTGAGATTTCTCAGCCCTAATCTAAGTTGAATCAGAAAAAGAAATAAAAAATCCAATAGTGCATTAACTTTTTTTTCACTCGTTTGCCATACTGAGTGCAAATACAAATCTGGTCTAAATGTACAGACTCAAGCAGCAGTGTATAGCTTTCTTTGTCCTCTATGCTAAGAGATATAAAAACCAAACAATACCTAAACCATCTAAGTAGGACATTCGCTAGTTTTAGCTAAGATACATCTGAGAACACTGACAAGTGATCACTTACACTTTTTGAAAAATTTTTTGAAAAATAATCTTTAGTGGAACAATCCTTAAGGATATACCAGAGGAATAGGTGGTTACCAGTTTAAGGTATCAGACAATTTTTGTTTTAGCCTCTTTGAATCCATGTTCAAAAAATCTAAAATTTAATAAAAAAATCCCTAAGCTGAGAGCTTTCTATGATGTCTGTATCTATTCATGTTAGGAAGTAATGGAGACTTAGGTGAAATGTTTTTATTTATCACAATTGCTGTATTAGTTGTAGTCAACAGCTTCATAGAAGCCTGGGAAATATTCAAGACTGCTCCATACAGTGGTTCTTATCAACCCCTTAGTGAAGCCTTTTAAAAACAAGTTGAATACGGGTTAAAGGATGCAAATACAGCATATGTCTTTAGAGCTATCAACCTAGGAATTCTCTCAGTTATGAAATCTTGTAGAGAAGTTATTTTATTTCTCAAAATCCAGGTGATGACATTCCTTACTCCACATCTAGCATTTTTCCATTCTTGCTGGCCTGTGAATCATCATCTGCTCCATCTACTTCTGGTAAATCTACATCCACAAGCCATGTTGTTTATCATCTCTGAGAAACAATAAAAGTTAGACATATCTTCATCGGAATCATCTTCCCAGTCTTTCCAGCGATTGAAATCCACACTGAGCCAGTTAAGCTTTTCCCTTTCTTTTGTTAACCTTGGCTGTGACTGTCAGGTTCTTTCCGTAAACAACATAAAATTGATCTATCCTTTTATGCTTGTTAAAATAATTATTTTCAAAAAAAAAATCACAGGTTGATAAAAATAATTAATAAAATTATGTGAGCTACAGGGGAGCAACAGCTGGCGTAATGGCTAGGTTGCTGGGTTCCCACGTAGTTGACCACGGTTCGAGTCCCAGACCCGGTGACTTAAACTCACACTGGGCGCGTGTGCGTGCATGTCCAAGATCCTGAGAGGAGAATGGAGGAGAAGGGATTGTGGTGTGGCTACTCTCCCTGGGGAGTGGGGTGGGGGGGGCAATTTCTCACTTTCTGTTCCTTTGAGGAGCGCACACGCCCTTTAGCAAAAACTTCTCAAAAAAAAAAAAATTATGTGAGCCACAAATGTGATTATAAAAATAAAGAGAAAGATGCTGAAGTTAGTAATATATATTTTTTAAAATAATAATTATTGGGGCCAGCAGATGGTGTGGCGATTAAAGGTGCTGGACTCCCACATGGCTGACCACAGTTAAAGTCCTGGACCTGGTGGCTTGCTTTCTCACTTTCTCTCTCTTTCTCTCTGGTCAAATTAATTAATTAAATAAATAAAGCTAAATTTAAAAAACTATATTAAAAATTTATTTTTTTTTTAAATTTGCTACAGGGCACATGCACTCACCATACAGAGATAGGGAGAGAGAGAGAGTAAAAAAGCCATCAGATCTGGGACCTACCACTATTGGCCATGTGTTAGCCACCATGCCACCTGCCACCTGCTGGCCCCAAAGTTAGTAATATATTTAACCCAGTAACCCAGACTATCATTTCAGCATGTAATCGGTACAAGAAATTGTAGTGAAGTTTCTTTTTTTTTAATTGCCCCATGGTGTGTGTGTTTGCCAGAGAGGGAAAGAGAAAGTACTCACAGGGGGCTGCAATCCTTTCTGCATTTCTCCTCCCTGGCAGGATTTTGGACACACACACAGCATGTTTTTCAGGACACCAGGGATAAGACTCAAACCACAGTTGGCCATATGAGATTAGGCTTTAGCTGCACTGCTCTTACCCCCTCTGTGGGGCTAGCCTTGCAATGAGGTATTTTGCATTCTTTTTTTCTACCAAGTCTTTGACATTTGAGGTGTCATTGTACTTAACAATGCATCTCAGTTTGGACTTGCCACATTCTGGATGAGTGCTCAGTAACAACATGGCCACCATATTGGATGGCACAACTCTTAAGTGGTTAGTTCTTGGTCCAAGTCTCAACTCTTGGCAGTGGTATTCAGTGTTTTGCATAAGCTGCCCCCCCCCACACACACACACACACTTTTTTAAAGAATTATTTATTGGGACCAGCAGTTAGCGTAATGACTATGTCTCTGGACTCCCATGTAGTCGACCACGGTTCGAGTCCCGGACCTGGTGGCTTAAACTCACACCAGGCGCGTGTGCATGTGTGTCCAAGATCCCAAGAGGAGAATGGAGGAGAAGGGATTGCGGTGTGGCCATCCCCCCTGGGGGGCACCATATTGGATGGCACAACGCTTAAGTGGTTAGTTCTTGGTCCAAGTCTCAACTCTTGGCAGTGGTATTCAGTGTTTTGCATTAAGCTGCCCCCCCCCCCACACACACACACACTTTTTTAAAGAATTATTTATTGGGACCAGCAGTTAGCGTAATGACTATGTCTCTGGACTCCCATGTAGTCGACCACGGTTCGAGTCCCGGACCTGGTGGCTTAAACTCACACCAGGCGCGTGTGCATGTGTGTCCAAGATCCCAAGAGGAGAATGGAGGAGAAGGGATTGCGGTGTGGCCATCCCCCCTGGGGGGTGATTTCTTACTTTCTGTCTCTCTGTCTCTCTCTGTCTAGCCTCTTGGCTCCTCAGCTCCAGCCTGGTAAGCAGAGCCTGGTCCCTGATAAACCTGGAGTCCCTAGCAACTGCCCGGATGATCTCAGGAACAGCCCGAGTTCCTCAGGGGCTGGAGTGCCATGAACCCAAGCGTCTGAATTTTCTGTGCTTTTCCCAGATCTGGGTACCATTTACCAGTTGATTCAGGATTCTCCCACCCCCACCCCAGATCCGTCCCTCTGCTCCCAAGGCTCTTGACTCAGCACTCAGGGTTTCCTGTTTATCCAGGCAGGCGTGGGAGGTTGAGCTGAGATTTTGGGAAGGTCCAGCAGGCTGCTGGACACCCTCTACAACGGGACAAGAAATGTTGCCCCTTCAGTCAACTCCTCTGTTTTCCCTACTGATGTCCCAGTCCCTGGTGCTGCCCTCTCCCTCCCTCATTCACTCAGCAGGCATCTGCAGACCCCCATCTCAGAGCTCCACCAGAGGTGCTCTTCCCCCACCCTCACCCGCCCATGGTGGGGAAGGGGCTGTGCTATGCGTGTACCGCCTTGCCCTGTGGTGGTAGCGGCTGTCCTCATGCTCCGGTTCCCACACGCAGGCACCATGACTCCTGTGAGGACCCAGTACTCCTTGGCGGGTCAGACCTACGCGGTGCCACTTATCCAGCCCGACCTACGGCGGGAAGAGGCCATCCAGCAGGTGGCGGATGCCCTGCAGTACCTACAGAAGGTCTCTGGAGACATCTTTACCAGGTGTGTGCTCCTATCCTCCCACATCCTACCTCAGGGCTACCTCTGTCCTGGCGCCCTTTCTCCAGACCCATGGACACACCCTGTGGAAGTAGACTTGTGATTCTTGGTCCTGGGTGGTGCCCCAGCCACCGCTGTGAGGGCGACCCGAGCCCAAGGCAAGAGCCCAGCTCAGGAACTTTTTATCAGAGCCTGGGAGCTTAGCTTCCTGATCTCCTGTGGTTGTGCTGCCCTCTGACCCATGCTCTTCCTTGCACCCGGCCTGTTCTCGCTCCTCCTGCACCAGCACACTCACTCAGCACTGGCGCACCAGGCACTGAGCTCCCCTCCTTGGATCCAGCAGTGAGGAAGGCAGTGGCCTGCCCCACATGAGCACACACTGCCGGAGAGACAGCCTCACCTGACCAGCAGTGCTCACAGAGGCAGCAAGACCTATGATGTTTGTGTGATCTGTGACGTTTATATGGCATTAACCCTGAGCCACCATCAGTCCGAGCATTAATTATTTAACCCTGCTACACTGTGAGGAGACCCAAAAGGCTGAAAGACTTAAGTGCTGGGGTTCAGTTAGGAACTATGGCTCCAGGTCCTGGGCATTCTCTGTCTCTGTAAAGGGAAGGTGAGGTGCTCTACAGCTCATAACAAGAGGCTTGGCTTGGCTGGGGGGGACTCAGGGGCAAATGTAAGGAGGCGACAGGGTATAATCTGAGGGATGGATGAGTAGGTTCGTGAGAAAAAGAATGTACCAGAGAGAAGGAGGCACCTGAGCTGCAGCCCAGTGGCAGGCAGGCAGGCCTGAAGGAAGCCATGTGCCAGAGTACGCAGAGGCCATTGAGCTGCAGGCCTCGATGGTCGGAGCTGGCGTGCTGCCACTGTGCAGCCCCAGCACGGGTCCAGCGTGGCCCTTGGGCTGTGTTCTTTCCTGTACTGTTGGTTCAACATGAGGGAAAGCACGGTGCTTGCTGGCTCATCACAGAGGTCTCAGACTCTGTCTAGACAGGTCCTGTGGCCCCGCACGCCAAGGTGAGGCTTAGCTGTCCTCCCAGGGTGGCCACGCAGAGCCTCACACAGAACCTTTTCTCCTGCCCAGTGTGAAGTGTGTGACTGCCTGGCTCGGGTCCCCCCATGGTCCTGGTCATCCTCAATGGCTCCCTGCAGTTGTACTCAAATCCCCTGCCTTTTCACCACGCACTCTTCTTTCCCCAGTTGGAGGTCTCCCCTCTCCCGAAAGCCCACCCCACTGCTAGGGAGGAAACGAAAGCATTGTCTCCAGCTGACCTGCATGAACACCAGATCCTCTGGACTCTGCCTTCTCCCTGCCCCGACTCACTCGCCTGTCCCAGGCCATCCAGAATGTAGTCCTGGCCAAGGTGTGGGTGCCAACGAGGTTAAGGGGCCAACAAGCAGAGGGCCTCACTCCCCACTTCACTTGCATAACCTTGGGCAAGTCACTTACGCCCACTCAGCCTCAGTGCTGTCATCTGTTAAACTGCTAATAATGGCATCCTCCTCATAGGGTTGTCACAGAGATGAAAGGGTTAAACTGCCTGGCACATGGACAGCACTCAATAGCTGTCAGCTCTTCTCAGCAGACAGCATCAGATCTAGGTCACATGCCTTACCCCCCAGGGACCTGAAGCGCAGGGGCTAAGCCTGTGAAGAGATAGATCCCCCAAGGAAATGGGGGCTGCTCCTTGGTGAAGGAGGAAGTGGGACTGGAGAGGAAAGCAGATGCCTGCATGCCGTGGTTAGGGAAGGCTCCTGCAGGAGAGGTGAGTTAGGGCTAGGCAGCCGAGGAAGGCAGGCGTGCAGGTCACCTGGTGGGTCTAGAGATGGGGCTTCAGGCTCAGAAAGAAGCCTGGATGTGGCCTGGAAGTAGTGGAGCAGAGCCTCCAGAGGAGGCTCCTAAATGGGGTACAGAGGCACCATTGTACTGAGAGTACAGACATCACCGCAGTCCTGTACTTTCGGCTCCTTCACCACAGAACTAGGGCAGAGAGCCGGCTCTCCAAGTTGTGGGCCTCACTTGCCCCCTGGAGTGTACACTCTTGTAACTCTGCCTTGTGCACCTTTTCATCCTCACAGAACTTCCGGAGTGCCCCATGGCATGAGTGTGAGGGACGTGGCCATGAGTGACAAGTTGGACCATGATGTTCTTGTACTGGCACAGGAGTCTGGGCTTGATTCAGGAGTTTCAGGGAGCCAGCATACTAGAGGTCTTTTAAAAGTTCACAGAAATGTGTATGATGAAAACTATGCATGGATTTCAAAATGTTTTGTTCCACAATAAACTCCATTCCATTTTTCATGAACATTTTGAAGTCCCTGTTTAGGTTCTTAAGCAGGGAAGTGAGAGACAAAAATATTTTGGCTTGTCAGGCAACCACCAGTACGAGGGAGAGTGGATTCCAGAGACCTGAAGCTGTTATGGTGGTCAGGGCATGAAAGGGTGAGGCCGCTGGGGAGGAGCAGGGAGGGCTGGATAAGAAACTTCAAAGGAGGCAGTGACAGTGTGATGACAGGCTGGGATGACAGATGAAGGAAAGGGAGGAGTCAGCAATGATGGGGGGAGAGCATTGACACCTCTGCTCTCCACCTGCCCTACCCCCCAAATCCTGCAGCAGTGACAAGCATTGAGGCTTTTCATCCTTCATGGGCTTTGGCAGTAGGGACTTGACCCCAGGTTAGAATACCTCCACCCCTAAGCTTGCTCTTGCTTAGAAACTTCTCACTGGGAAGAAACAGGTGGGTGAAGAGGAGGCTCTGTCTCTCCCCTGCACCCTTCTCACGTCCAGGCCTGCCAGCCTCAGTGGGGCCTGTGCCCGGCTGTAGGTAGGTGAGTTCATTGCAGATTAGCATTCTGCACTGAGCTCCTTCCTTAGCTCTGCTCTGCTGCAGTGGGAGGCTGGACTGAGAGAATGACAAATACCTCTCAGGCGCTCTCCGACTCTCTCTTCCAGCCCCCTAGCCCACCCTCCATCTGCTGCATCTTCACCTGTGGGAAGCCAGGCCCCAAAATATCTGCCCAAGATGTCACCTGTTCCAGATGACTTAGATGACAAGGCAGCAGGGTGTGGAATGGCTTAGGGGAGAGAGCTGAACAGATCCTGTGTGTGGACGTTGGGGGGCTGTCCTCTACCAGTCCTGTCGCCCGAGGAGCAGCAGCCCCTTCCTCCTGGGAATGGGTTGGTTTTCCCTGCAAAGCTTTTTCCTTTCTATCCTTTTTCCTCCCTTTTCGCCTTCCCTCCCCATCCTCTCCCCACCCTCACTTCTGCCCTCCTCCATCCCTCCTCCCCCACACACATACTGATTGGCCCCTGGAGGCTCCCAGGGTTACCAAGCACTCAGTCAACTGCCTGCATAATTAGCAGATTATTCTTAATTATGCTTGAGAATGGAGGGGAGGAAGGTGAAGTCCTGAGCCCTTGAGGGTTGGGGTCAAGAGTGGGTGACACCTCTTCCCTGCAGCCTTTAGGGACTGGCTTACTGACTGTGACTGGTGATTGCCCTGACGTCCTGCTTGGGCCTACTGGCTCCACAAGAAATGCTCACATTAGGGAATAGGGGCAGTCTTTAGAGTTGGTGAGACAAAGGACTCAGGCCCCATCCTGGCCAGCTCCCTCCCGGGCCAGGAGAGTGGTCCCCATGGTTCCTCCCAGAAAGCTTCACACCCTAACCATAGGAGCTGCCTGTGAAGCTCTGTCCTCCCTTTTGGCAAAGTCCCCGTGTCCTGGTCTAGAACTTCCTTCCCTTTCTGCTCAAGACTGTCTCTCCGTGACACTTCCCCAACCCAACCCCGGCCACCCATCCTCCATTTCCTTCCCGCTCCCCACACCCCTCCAAACCCACCCTACCCTGTCAATCTTATGGCAATAATAGCAGGCACTGGCTGAGGCTGGAGGCTGACACTAGCTCACTGTAACCTTTACACCCCTGCAGTAATCTCTCCCCGTGAGCAAGTTATGGCCCCTTACTCTGTTGAAGAAGCTGTGACATGGTATGGGCCAGGGTCACCCTGCTGTGAAGTAGATGTGAAACCCAGATGTGTGGGACACTGTGGCTCTGATGTTCAGATCCCCAAGGGTGTCTGATTTATCTCTGTCCTCCACAACCCCCACAACCCCCACATAATGTGCTTTACAGACTGGACGCATGCAGGGTGCTGAAAGGTGTGAGGGGAGGAGAAGAAAGGGGTGTCTGGAAAAGCTGCCACTCTAGAGCAGGCAGGGCATGATGAGTATAGCCCCAGCCCTGAGCCAGCGGGAGAACCAGTCTCATCCTGATGCCCCTCATGGGACAGGCAGGGCACAGTGAGTCCAGGCCCTGGCCCTGAGCTGGGGGGAGGGGGGAGAAGCCTTGTCCTTGACGCCCCTCACGGGCAGGCAGCATCCTCTGCTAGTGTCTGGGCAGATGCACTGGAGGGACATGGTTCAGCGTTGATCCTGGAAACTGACAGACTTAGTTTTAAGCTGGAATATCAGGAAAACCCCAAGTAGGCTACCAGTCAGGAGTCTAGACTAGGAACGGCCAACAACTGCCCTCGTGCCACCCTTTCTCACCCCATGGTGGACGTCCCAGCCCCACTGTAACCCACAGCCCTTCCTAACCTGCCTTCCTGACCACCACTGCCAGCAGGTGAGAGGGCAAGGAAAGGGAAGGCTCTTTCTCATCCTGGATCTGCACTCCCCATAGCACTGTGGCCTCCAGGCACCTTGTCCATGGGCCATTAATTGGACATACAGGCTCTTGGACAGGGAAAGACCCAGAAGTCATGTCTCCCACCCTTGCCCTCAGCAGGGCTCCCCTGGAGCCTCTCTGGCAGCTGGAATCTGATTGCATTGCACAGCTGTGCAGCTGATCACGAGAAAGTTCTCTGTGTGCAGAGCCGAGATCGGTTTCCTGTAACTCCACGCCCTGGCTCTAATGCAGCCCTCTGGGGGCACAGAGAATCATCCTGGTCACTTTCCCACCCACAGCTCTTGGATATGTGAAAGTGATGAGCATATTCTCATCCCTCAGCTGTCTCCATGACATGGCTTTCTACTCGCCACCCTCCTTCCGATGTTGGTCCATTTGTCACTTGTGTTTAGCTCATGTGGGGTGTGCGTCGTGCACTGGCCCAGCAGCAAGTAAGACCTCCTCTGCAGTCTAGTAGTACATTCTCTGCATTCAGCGTCCTCCTAGAATGTGGTCCAGTTGAAAGAGAATGCACTCTGGATGAGACAGGAGCCTGGGTAGAGTAGCTGTCATTGTCAGGGGCTGATTCCCGCCATGGTGCCCCCGGAGAGTAAACGCTGTTTGCCCAAAGGAGGAGGAAGGGGCGTGTACCCCCAAGATTTCCTTGTTAAGCTGCTCAACCTGCTTTTAACTGAGCTTCTAGTTAAAACCTGTGGCCTCTCTTCACCTGCAATGCT